TATGTAAGTCCAGCTACCTGGTAGTAATATAAGAGAGAACAGCCATTCCTGTCGTGTGAATAAGATTAAGCTTCAGGAGGAGGGGATTGCTGTGGATTGGGGGCCTTGACCTCTTAGTTCCTGGGCATTTTGCTGTCACCCTATTACTTGGGGGGTGGGGGAGGGGAGCCGTCTCTAAGGTGCTGGGTATCCACAGGTCTTCAGTTCCCTTCTGGTCCTGAGTTCTGAGACTTAGCAGAGGGCCCTAGGTCATCAAAATTAAGAGGCACATTTTGTCTTTGAAGTCTTCCAAACGCCATTTCCCTTCCTGCACTGGGGTCCCCATTTCTCATGGACACCTCACTTTCAGAGCCGGGCTGGAAAGGGCAGTAGAGTATGTGCACGGAGCACGGGGCTCGATGGTTTGTGTGCATGATTTGAGGATCACAGGTTGTAGAGCCTAGCCTGTGCGGGTGACCCCAAGTACACTGAATGCTGGCGTCTACAATGCCCATATCCATATGTTACGGGCTCTTGTTTTCTTGTGCCTAAAATTTTAACTTTTATTTTACAAGATAGGCAGAGTATCGCTTAAGATTTCCATTACAGCAAAAAACATATACAGTAAATACCTCATCATAAACTTACATGGAATTGTTAGCTCTGAACCTTTTAATATAAGCCTAAATTATTGTTTCACATAATCAGTTTGTGTCTTAATTATCTTCAGAATCTTTTTCAAAGTACTGAGTTTTGTAACAGACCATTGGAGCCTTTGTTCTGTTGTTTTCCTTCCCTTCACTGGCTCTAAACCTTTCCTAGGGAGTAGCCTGGAGTTTAAAGCTGGGTACCTGTTAGGGAAAGCCTGATTCCCACCCCCACCCCCAGCGCCATTACTCAAAACTGATGGACTCCTTGCTTTGAAGAGCAAAGCACGCTGCCGTAGTTTACACATTTCTGTTTATTTGTCCCTTTGCCAGATCATTTTCTTGCTGCTCCCCAAAGTTAGCATTAACATGGGGTACTTTAGTACCGGTGAGACCAATGAGCTTTCCTGGCTAATAACTAGTATCATGCAATTTTCAGTAACCAAAAGTTCACTCTGTCCTCACTCGAAAAAAAATTCTAATTGTTGGTATTTTTGCCTAGTGCACTTATTTATGTATGTGTTTGCCTTCATCATGCTTCTGAGAACAGTCAAGTTTCTGCATGTGTGTGCGCGCGTGCATGTGTGTATGCGCCTCCTTAAATAAGTGTGTGAGATAGAAGCTCCATTTTCTTTCCCTATTATAAAACTGATACTGAAATATGCTAATATATTCATTTTTGTTAAATGCTGCTGATTTGCATACCTCTTACTTGAATGTTTTTATATATTTTGATAACCTTAATAACTTCAAGTGATGTCTGTATAATTGTTGAAGTACAGGTCTCTCTAACAAATGTGCCTTAAAACCACTGATTAAACAGTATCTTGAAGGTTTTAAAATGTGTTTGTGTGTATTTGAATTCATGGAGGTTTCTTGTCAGCAATCTAGTGATCGTGGAAAACTATAATAGTTTGTAAGGTTGTTCTTTGCATTTTCCTAGAATCCCATAAGTTTTTTGTTGGTTTTTGGTTTGTTTTGTTTTTTTAAGAGAGAGCATGCACACCTGCAGGGGAGGGGCAGAGAGAGAATCCCAATCAGGCTCTGTGCTCAGCACAGAGCCCAACACAGGGCTCACTCAGTTCCGTCAACTGTGAGGTCATGACCTGAGCTGAAGTCAAGACTTGGAACGCTCAACCGACTGAGCCACCCAGGCGCCCCAAATGACAAAAGTGTTTGATGCAATCATCAGATGAGTACTTTTAAGACTTCTTGGCTTTGCTCAAGCCAGGGAGGAGTATATGTGTGTATTTTACACTGAAAAGACATAAAATTGTTTCAAGCACTCCCTTCCCCATCCTCCACCCCCCAAAGGGAACTACTGCTCATGATGTTTATTTTCTTCTCCCAGAAAATTATAATACATATTCAAGCAGATATATATGTGTGGTTGAATGCATGAAAAATGTATATTTCTGAGCTCTTCCATTTTTCCTCCTTAATAACATCTTGAAGATCTTACCATGTAAGTAGTCACCTCATTCTTTTTAATAACTACATAGCATTCCACTGTATCAGGGTATTCTTCCATAAGTGTCAGCTCTTTAATAAACTGTGCTCCAGAAAACTAAAAAAAAAAAAAGATAGGTATTTATTTTCAGCTCACCAACACTGCCCCCCACACTCTCTCCTGTTACAAACCTGGGAGCTGGAATTTTAAAAGTCCCTCTAAGCATGTCTCTATTTCCCTATTCTGCCCCATTCTCCTACAGCAGGTTCTTGGGTTTTTTGTTTTTGCCTACAAAACAGGGCTTTATTGGAATTTAAAATTCATAAATTAAAAAAATTTTAACATTTATTTATTTTTGACAGTCAAAGAGAGACAGAGCACAAGGAGGGGAGGGACAGAGAGAGAGGGAGACATAGACTCTGAAGCAGGCTTCAGGCTCTGAGCTGAAGCCCATGTAGGGCTCAAACTCATGAACCGTGAGATCATCACCTGAGCTGAAGTCGGATGCTTAATCGACTGAGCCACCCAGGTGCCCCAACACCCTATCTTCTTGATGGTTATTTGGGTACTTTCTGTAATTTGGCGATTGTCGATAATGCTGTTATAAACATTGGGATGCATGTGCCCCTTCAAATCAGTATTTTTATAGCCTTTGGGTTAATACTTAGTAAGGCAATTGCTGGGTTGTTTTTTAACTTTCTGAGGAACCTCCACACGGTTTTCCAGGGTGGCTGTACCAGTTTGCATGCCCACCAGCAGTGTATCAGAGGGTTCCCCACAACATGTTCTTATTCTTTATCAAGGCAGCCTCAGGTGTTGTTGCAGTCACAAAATATTCTCATCACAGCAAAGAGAAGAATCCAGTTAGGCAAGTTTTTAGTTTGCATTAATTCTTAAGTCGGCAATATCTGATTGCAGCTACTCAGGAGTAAGTAATGATGAAGAAAGGAATTAATTTTCCCAGAGTGGAGTACAAGATGTGATCCCTGGGAAGATAGGATTTCTGAATGTATCTTCTCGATATAGGGTATGGCTTTATTAGTAAATTCCACTTTCTGTATTTTCTCTCCAATGCATGGGTTGCTTGGGACCTGGGTCAGCTTTGCTACTTGCTTTGTGTCTTCAACTTTCTGTGATAAAATTCCCTTTAAAATGGAAAATAATATTTACTTTTATTTTTGAGAATGGAATTAGTGACCAATATGCTTTCTCTTTTTGAAATTTCATTTTCTCATTATAAAAATGCTTGTTATAGAAAATACAGAGAACATTGGAAACTATAGAAAAAAACAGATCACCTGTAAGTACCATTTACGGACATTCACTGCTAATCTTGCCAAATTCCTTTGAAGATAGAAAGCACAGAGGGAGGGAGGATGAGATGAAAAGAAAGAAAAAAAATGTGGGTATTCTCTTCTTTTCAGTTACTGTGTTATTTCATGTTATCAAAAGATTTTTTATAAACATTTCAGTGGGCTACATAACATCATACAGATGGGACATAATTTTTAACATTCCTTTGCTGCTTACCATTTTGTTTTCAAATTTTCCTGACAATAATTTGAACATCCATAAATTTTTGGAAATGTGGGATTATATGAGATTATGCCTAAAGGTTTAGTAAGAATGTTTTAGGGCTTTTGAGAGACAGGTTTACACTCTGAGTAGCTTTACATAAGAATGTCACATCATCCTCACTTACACTAAGTGTTTGGGTTTAAAAAGCTATAGAAGGAGCACCTGGATGGCTCAGTTGGTTGAGTATCTGACTTCGGCTCAGGTCATGATCTCAAGTTCACGAGTTCAAGCCCCACGTGCTGACAGCTCAGAGTCTGGAGCCTGCTTTGGATTCTGTGTCTCCCTCTCTCTCTGCCCCTCCCCTGCTCATGCTCTCTGTCTCTCTCTCAGAAATAAACATTTAAAAAAAATTTAAAGCTATAGTTTGCCATAATTTATAATTATATTTCAAATAGTTTGAAAACAACTAGCAACTTCAATTATTTTACAGTGGTAGTGTACGTTAAATGTTTTATAATAACTTGGAAAAAAGATATATATATATATATATATATATATATATTCCAAGGGTGTAAAGTAGAAAGTGTGAAAGCCTTTCTCAACAGTCCCAACCCTCTGACGTTACTAAAATTAAATGTTTTGTTATATTTCCTTCCAGATATGCATCTATTATTTTTTGCCTTCATGTATATATGTACATAATATATACATATATAGTATATATGAATATATGAATAATATATAATGTAATAATATATAATATAATAATATATATAGTATATATGAATATATATAATATATAATATATATAATGCTACACATTTGAAAAATTATTTCTGTTGGTTAGATCTCTTGAAGTAGTCGATATGCGTTATTTTAAAAATACTTCACAAAATTTTTTTCATAAAACATTTTTAAGTAAAGTGGAGACAACAAAACATAAGCCATGTTCTCTATACAAAACCTAAAATTAGAGAAAACTAAGAATTTAAGTCGGCTGTTAGAACCATCACTAGAGATACTATTGACCATGCAGTATATTTAATTTCGTCATGCAACTTCTACAAGTGGATGTAGGATACACCTAGGGGAAACTCTCTTTCCGTGCTGGTAAAGCAGGAAATACAAGGGCTGTGACAATAAAGAGTTCCCTCACGGTCCTCTTTCTCAGGAATTTACCCAGGCAGGATCTTGGGAACAGCAATTTAGCATCCTCATCTCCCTAGCAACCCGTCTCCTTTACACACGTCCGTCCTGAGTGATTGATGGTGGTCACATCCAATATCATCTTTCCCATTGCCTTTTCCAACCAATCGAATGGAAGCAGGGGCCTAGGGGGCGTTCCCACCGGTGCAAGGGCGGCCAGTGTCTGCCTTACGTCTGCTGTGCGTCATCAGTCTGCGCTGAGCGCGCGTTTGGCCCGCTTCGCTCAGGGCAGCGGTTACCTTGTCACAGCAATGAGCTGCTCCGGGGCGGCGGCGGTCCGCTCCCTGTGGCGGCTGCGCACGGGCGCCCTGCAGCCTCTCGCAGGTAAAGAACGAGCGCGGCCGCATAATACGCGCGCTAAGCCCCCGAGCTAGGGAAGTTTCGTCCGTGGCTTGGGCCGGAGAGGTCACGGGGCAGACGTCATAGGGCTGCGACGGAGCGCGACTGCAAGACGTGAAACTCGGAGCGCGATAGGCGGGGCGGAGTTGGCAGTGCGCAGGGGGTATGCGGGCCGGGAGGGGCGTGGCTTTCGGTTGGGACGCATTGGAGTGTCAGCTCGCGGTTGGCGCGTGGGGCAGTGATGTAATTGTACAGCTGTGACGGAACGTCACTGCCGGTGTCGTCGGCATTCCAGGCTGAGGACAGGGGGAAGCCTTGCAAGTTCAATGCCCAGCGGGCGTCATCATAGCCTTTCTTATGAGCGCTGCTAGGCAAGGTAGTCAGGCAACCTGCAGCGTTGGCTTGTTAGAAGTGCAGGTCCCCCCCTGACTTACAGGGCCTCATATTCTGTATTTTAGCTGGACTTTCGAATGACTTGCATGTACTGGGAAGTTTGAGAAACATCTGGGTGGTGGAAAGGGCATAGGGTTTGGAGTAGGGAGACCCTTCTCCTTTCCTCCTTTCATCAGGGCGGCTTCAGAAAACCGTTGTGAGGTCGTTTTCTGAAAGTTAAGTTGTTGGTGTACTACCTGAAGATTCTTACCTTTTAACAATACCACTTGTACTTGTGATTACTAGATGTGTTTTTTCTGTAACCATGTTCCATCTTCTAAAAATATTTATTTTTATTGGGGTGGGGGTGGGGAGAAGAATCCAAGTGAGGGAGAGGCAGAGAGAGGGGGACAGAGGATCCAAAGTGGGCTCTGAGCTGACAGTCTGAGAGCAATGAGCCGGATGTGGTGGCGCTCCAGCTCACCAACTCGGGAGATCATGACCTGAGCCAAAGTCAGGATGCTCAACTGACTGAGCCACCCAGGCACCCCAGCATGTTTAAGCTAAGTCCTTATGATAAAAACGGATAACCAAGTATTGCCTGTCCCAGATAGAGTAATCAAAAAATGAATGGATTAAAAACAAAAATAAATTGTATCAGAGACTATTGTCTATCAAGGCTTGGACCCTGAACTGTTCTTCTGGTTAAAAAAAAGTATTAGGAAGGTATTTGTAAACTAAGACATTCTCCTTGATGAACTCTAACAACAGGATTGCAAAAGAATTTAAAAAGAGAGTAACTTAACTACGTGGGTGTTATTAAATGCATGTCCATAGCCACTTAAGATCTTCCTGTATACTACTTAAAGTCTCCTAGGTACCATCATTGTTAGGTTTTTCACGCTGTGGGAAAGCACTAAAAGCACTAACTTAAAATGATACATTTGAGAGCTTCTAGCACAGGGCCTCAACTTAATTTTTTTCTCAGTTTAAAAAAAATTTTTTTTATGTTTTATTTCTGAGAGAGAGAGAGAGAGAGAGCGTGAGCAGGGGGAGAAGGAGATACAGAATCTGAAACAGACTCCAGGCTCTGAGCTAGCAGTCAGCACAGAGCCCGACGCGGGGCTCGAACCCACCAACTGTGAGATCATGACCTGAGCCAAAGTCGGACACTTAACCAACTGAGCCACCCAGACGCCCCGATTTTTTCTCTTTATTTTAAAGTGTATGACAATGCAGACAAAACTGAGGATTTTTAAACATGACTTTTCATGCTCCTTTGTTGCGCCAATGAGCATAACAGAAGAATCATTCTTTATCATTTATAAAGTTACATTGCTTCCTGTGTCTCATTTTATCTTTATAATAACTCAGTGAGAGAGGTGTTACTATTGTATATTTCCTTAAAAAGGAAAAATCCTTATTATTGCCAATTTTATATGTAAGAAATGGCAATTCTGATTTGCCCAAGGTTAGTATTAAAGACAGAACACATATGGGGCACCTTGGTGGCTCAATTGGTTAAGCATCCAACTCTTGTTTTCAGCTCAGGTCATGATCTCACACAGTTCATGGATTCGAACCCCATGTCAGGCTCAGCTCTCCTGGTGCAGAGCCTGCTTGGGATTCTCTCTGTGCCCCTCCCCTCCTCGCTTGCTCTCCCTCAAAATAAATAAATAAACTTAAAAAGAAAAAAAAAAAAAAAGACAGGACACATTTTCTAACTCTAGCTCTGTGCCCTTTCTGTTCATCTCATACTTTTTAAAGACACCTTGTGGGGATTGTGAAAAGACAAAAATGGCAAACATTATAACCCAGTCCTCCACACATTCCACAAAAAATCATTTATTAGGTGCCTGAATCTGGAAAAGTGCAGTGCTAGGGAACTGTGGAGTATGTTTTTAATACAAATATAATCCTGCCCTTCAGAAGTCAGCTGTGTGTTTACACTCATCCAGTGAACATAGCCCTTTGCTATTTCTCCTGCAAGGTTTTTTTAAAAAATGAGTCCTGGGCTGTCTGAAAGTTCTTTCCTATTAGTATGATCTTGAATGAGAGTAACAGATGAAAGAACAAGCAAACAAGGTTATCTTGAGAAATAGACCCAGCTCATTGTTTTCAATTCCAGTTCCTAGGAGTCGTCTTTCTGCAAGGAGGTCAGATTAATGGGAGCACCAGTCCTTGGACTTGGAGGCGAAAACTTTGGACGGGCTACTCTGACTTAGTCAAATGCGTCAAATTGTTCTCCACACAAGAACATAGTAGTGGGGGCACCTGGGTGGCTCAGTTGGTTAAGCGTCTGACTCTTGATTTCAACTCAGGTCATGATCTCACAGTTCGGTCATGAACTCAACAGTTCGTAAGTTCTACACTGTTAGTGCAGAGCATGTTTGGGATTCTCTCTCTGCCCCTTCTCTCTCTCTCCCTCTCTCTCTCTCTCTCTCTCTCTCTCTCTCTCTCTCAAAATAAACTTAATATAATAAATCATAAAACCTAGACCACAGTGACCCACTGTCTGATGGCACAGATCCGAGAGGTACATTGCACTGAGCAGAACTTGGATTCCATCTAGCTTTTGGTGTCCAGTTCCTGGACTCCATCCAGTTTCTTGAGTCAAATAGGCTCAGTGAGATGGAGCAGGTCATGCAGAAGCGTGGATCAAAGCTGGGTCACCATGCCTCGGACCCCCATATTCTTGCTCCTTTGTTTAGTGAGGCATTTAAAACCCTGGCTGTTGAAAAAGTTCACATACAGAACCATCCAGATTTCAGCAGGCCTAACACGTCATCTGTGTCCAAAGCACTCAAGCCTTTAAAAAACGAAACAAAACTACAGAGGTATTCAAAGTGAAGTTTTCCACTTTTTCAGGGTATTGAAGTTAGCCTAAATTAATAGATGTATGTATGAAAGATGTGGCAGTCATGCATAAGAGTGGGATACCAGTACAAGTCAGAGTTCAAGGGACAACCAGCCTCCGTGGGGTCTCCATTTTAATATCTACAAAAAGAACGGATAACACCTTCTACATATAACACACTGGAAAACTCTTAGGGGAAAAAACTTTGGAGATGCCATAATGCAAGCCTCAGAGAATATAATGAAGGTGTTAACTATTAGGAGGTTTTGTTTTAAGGTTATCTTATTTATTTTGAGAGAGAGAAAGAGAGTGTGAGCGGGGGAGCGGCAGAGAGGGAGAGAGAATCCCAATGAACCATGAGATTGTGACCTGATCCCAAACCGAGAGTCAGACGCTTAACCGACTGAGCCACCCAGGCACCCCCTTAGGAAATTTTTTAAAAGACAAAGTTAATCTACCTGGAAGAATTTACATTTTGAAGACAAGTTCAGTTGAACTGATGATGCAGCATAAGGAGATGAAACTCAAGCAGTAAGGCTCCGTTCTCAAAATCCAAAGCCCACGGGTGTTTTGAGAGATCTTAAATCTATGGTTCTCAACCTTGGCTGCAGAAAAGATTGGTGCACAGAACTTTTAAAAAATATGATGCCCCCCCCCCCCCCCGAGATTAACTGGGGAGGAGCATCCATGGTTTTGAAAGCTCCCTAGGAGGTTTCGCACAGCCAGGAGTGGGAGCGCAGCAGGCCTGAGGGGCCGAGAACTGGAGAGGCTATCTAGAGGTCAGTGCCACATTAAATTCTGAGCCTGTCTTTTCCACTGCCTGCTGAAAAGACAGGCTCAGTATTTCCAGATCTTTTTTTTTTTTAATTTTTAAAATGTTTTATTTATTTCTGAGAGAGAGAAAGAGAGACAGTGTGAGCAGGGAGGGCCAGAGAGAGAGGGAGACACAGAATCCACAGCAGGCTCCAGGCTGTGAGCTAGCTGTCAGCACAGAGCCCTACGCGGGGCTTGAGCCCACGAACCGTGAGATTGTGACCTGAGCCGAAGTGGGACGCTTAACCAACTGAGCCTCCCAGGCGCCCTGATCTTTATATGTTTAACATGAAGCCAGACAAATCAGATCTTTAGGTAAACTCTGTTTTAAGTGTTGGTAACTAAATCACTTTTAAAAAAGGGGGTCGGGGCTGGCTGGCTCAGTCAGTAGAGCATATGCAACTCTTGATCTCAGGTCATGAGCTCAAGCCCCATGTTGGGTGTGGAGCCTACTTTAAAAAGAAACAAAACTCTGCAGGTTTAACAGAATCTATTTATGGGCATCTCCTTCCTACTGGGAACTCATCTGTGGCCTTTGTTCTAAGATGCCCCTTTCTTCTGTCTGTAAAAGGAACCATCTGTTTTAGCCGAGAGTAATGGAAACTAAACATTTGCATTGCAGCTTACGGAAGAAGGATCAGTGTCAGATTGTACACTGTACATTCAGGAATGACCTTAGACAATATCAATTGGGCAGCTGTGGATCGAATAATCCGGGTGGATCATGCAGGTGAATATGGAGCGAACCGAATCTATGCAGGGCAGATGGCTGTCTTGGGTCGGTCAAGCGTCGGGCCAGTCATTCAGGTGGGTGTTTTGTTATCCCTCTCACCTGGCCTCACTGACTAGTGTGGGGATCCAAAGGCCTTAAAGTCATGAATCACATTAGGTCATGCACTATCAAGGGAGGGACTGTCCCCAAGAGAGCAGGAATTGGCTACTAGGGTGGAGTCAGGGGAGGGAGAAGTTTACTATTGTTTTTATGTATAGAGACAGATAGTACATAAAACAGATATATGGTATATCTGAAGTATTAAAGTTTCACTGTGGGATGGGCAATAAAAAAGATTTGAGAATCATCATATGAAGTGAAAACACCAGTTGCTGAGAGGTTGTGATCCTGGCCCCAGTGGAGATATTTTATATTTTATACTGAGAGGCAGAGGGAGGGGCCTGGGCCCTGCAGTCACAAAGACCAGGTTCACATTCCAGCTTTCTCCTACCTGTATGACCTTGGGGAAGTTACACACCTCTGGGTCTCCATTTCCATATCTGCAAAATGAGCTGCTAATACCTGCCTCACTGGGTTTTGGTGAGGAACAAATGAGCTGGCATAGAGCAGCTACTACCATGTCTGGCCTGTAATAGACACTCGGCACAAGTTAAATTGCCTGCTCTGAGCCCTCGGGCAAGTTACTTACCCTCTCTGTGCCTCACTTTCTCTATCTGTGTAATGGGAATCATGATAGTTAGTGCAGATTAACTGAGTTGCCTTCATACATCTGTTTGATAACGCCTGGCCCTTAGGACGTGCCAGCCAAGTGTTAGCTCTCTTGTCATTCCCACTTGTTCCTTTGACGTAAATGATACTTCTGTTCCAGCAGTCTAGAAGGAAATTACACAGTGGGTGATACGCTGCCCTCCTAATTGTGGAGAGGGCCGAGCATCTCATTTCTCATTAGTGTGCCCTTGTCCTTGTCCACGTGTGGGTCTGAGAACTTCTGCCAGAGCCATGGTTCATGGCCCCGTCCGTGGACCTGGAACTGAGATAACGGGCTCTTCTAGTTTGCGGGCACCCTCTTCTCTGTATCCAGTCTGATGCTTCACTTTTCCCTTGGGTGATTCAAGGGGAGGGGAAGAAATAGCAGTTCTCATTCTCTGCTCCATCTGCATCGTGCTTCCTGTCTCCCACAAGGACGGGCATGGAGCTTCCTTGGCACGTGACAGGTGACCTCCGAGTAATGCTCGCGTTTGTTTTTATGTTTCTTACAGAAAATGTGGGATCAAGAAAAGGACCACTTGAAAAAGTTCAACGAGTTGATGGTTGCATTTAGGGTGCGGCCCACCGTTCTGATGCCCTTCTGGAACGTGGTGGGGTTTGCGCTGGGTACGTATCCAGAAGAGCTTATGCGAGCTTAGGGATATGGGACAGTCACATCGTTAACGTACCGAATCCCCGGTTCTTTCTGTGTCCTCTTACAGCCTTTTTATTTACATACATTTTTTAGAGTTAAGTTGACTTTTATTTGGCTTAAATTTATTTAAATATTTACGGATTTAAATCAGTGATTTTATAAATAGAAGGTACAGTAAAAACAAGACACAACAGAGGAGGAAAAAAGCTAGAGCAAAACAGGTGTAGCCAGGTGATGTTCCCCGACAGAGGTTCTAAACCTGAGATCAACCTGCGCACTCTTAAAAAGGGAGAAAAGTAAATGTTAGAAAAGAATCAAAGACACACCCCAAACGAAGACTTTCTTCTTGCCATAATCAGGGTTAAAGAGAACACTGAAAAGAGAATCGCATTCTTACCCTGCGATCCAGGATTTGACAGTGTGACATGGTACCACCTACACCCAGTTTTCACTGGGGGGCACATTGCCTATAAGAATCTTGGCAGTGTCTAGAAACATTTTTGGTTTTCGCAATCAGGGATGCTGTTGGCATCTAGTGGGTACAGACCATGACGCTGCTAAAGTATATCCTCCGATGCACACGACCGCCCCCACACCAAGGAGTTACTGAGCCCCAGAGCCCTTAGTGCCGCAGTTGGTGAGCCCTGACCTGACATGATGTCCCTCACCAGTGTGGCATCGGCTCCATCCTTTTCTGCTCTGGATTTGACAATTCCAGGTGCGGGAACTGCCCTGCTTGGGAAGGAGGGAGCGATGGCCTGCACCGTGGCTGTGGAAGAGTCTATAGCACATCACTATAACAACCAGATCCGGACGTTGATGGAGGAGGATCCTGAAAAATATGAGGAACTTCTTCAGGTATTTGAATATACTCTGGAAAGGGGCCAAGATGGGAGAAAAGGGTAGGTAAGCAACTTGGTGAGAAGGAACACAGATAGAAAGCTGGGGAATGACAGGGCCTTAGAAACCTAGGTGAGCGCCTCATTCTGTAGGCAAGAGGCACAGGAAGCTCTCTCGTGTCCTGGCCACACGCTCAGGCAGAGCTGGGACCAGAAGCCGTGTCTCCTGAGCCCACAACTGTATTCTCTCCACTTCTGGATCATTGACAGATTCTGAGCCAGTGCTGGGAGCACAAGTACTTCAGCTTAAATAAATGAGCCAGTAGAGATCTTCAGGTAATTTTCCACAACAAATAAGAGAACTGTTTACTTTTTTTTTTTTCCAAGTCTAAATTGGGGGTTGGTAAACCCTGGCCTGGGACCAACGGCCTGTTTCTGTAAATTAAGTTTTGTTGCAACACAGCCACACCCATTCGTTTACGTGTCCGTGGTTGCTGCCTGCCAAACATTGGAGTTGAGTAGTTGTGAAGAGGACCATACAGCCTGCGGAGCTTGAAGTACTGACTTCCTGGCCTTTATAGGAACATTTTGTCTACCCCTGTCTTAGATGGTAGAATGAGGCTTTAGCATCTGGAAGAGGACAGGACAGTGGAGAGTTAGACACTGATTTGCCTGGATTTCTTTGTATTTAACCAGGTGATAAAGAAATTTCGGGATGAAGAGCTAGAGCACCACGACATAGGCCTTGAACATGATGCACAGCTGGTAGGGGACCTGCCTTTACTATTTGCTTGTGCTACTCTGAGCGCCTTATTTGGAAGATTGAGGGGTGTCAAAATTTTCGTTTCCAGAAAAATAGATTTCATAGTGACCACCAAAGAAAGCAAACCAATACCACTGCTTTGATTAAAAAAAAAAAAAAAAAAGCAGGCAAATGCATTGCTCCCAGCGGGGAATCTTATTTCTCGCTTCCTTTCTCATCATTTCCCCCCGGCAGCTTCTTTCCCCTTCCCGATGAGAAATCAGATGATTCAGATTTTTCTGGCAATAGCAGAAGCATCCCAACCTTTTGAATTAAAAGCAGTGTTTAGATCTCATGTCTTCTTCAGAGAGCCGCAGCCCCACCATCGCAGGCCAGATCTTAACGGCTACAAGTGAACGTAGAACATGTTTCTTTTGTTTGCTTATTGTCGTTTTCAACAGGCTCCAGCATACACGGTTTTGAAGAGTGTTATCCAGGCCGGATGCAGCGTGGCAATATATTTATCCGAAAGATTTTAAAGTACGTCCACTTTTCCCTGTGTCTAAGAGAGGGTAGTAATTAAACAAGGGGCATTGGCAGAAAAGGAAATGTGCATTATCGTTATATGAATTTTGTTAATAAGCTGCAAGAGGTTTTTTTTGTTGTTGTTAATAAAACTCTCTAGTGTTGATTTTTTTTTTTTTCCTGTGCCGCCTTATGCCAGAAGGCTGACTGTTTGCCAGGTTTGTTCCAGTTAACAACAAATGAAGCTGGTCCTTGTTTGGGGCAAAGTTAATTTTTTTGGTAACACATCAAGAATGAGTCATCAAGAAAAGAACAGAAATCTTCAAGGGGAAAAACAATTTGAGTTTACTTCTTTTTTTAAAAAAAATATTTTTTTTAATGTTTTATTTATTTCTAGGAGAGAGAGAGAGAGAGAGACAGCGTGAGCAGGGGAGGGTCAGAGAGAGAGGGAGTCACAGACTGAAACAGGCTCCAGGCTCCGAGTTGGCAGTCAGCACAGAGCCCGACGCGGGGCTCGAACCCACGAACCGCAAGATCATGACCTGAGCGAGAGTCGGACGCTTAACCGACTAAGCCACCCGGGCGCCCCAATTTGAGTTTACTTCTAACCAAAGGTAATTTAAAACACGAGGGTGTTGAAGACTGACAAAGCGAGACTGTCCGAGCCATCAGTCAAACGGAAGACTGTCACTGTGTCCGCTGTCTCCAGTGGCCTCCTTAGCGGTTCTTCCTCTCCTCTGGATTGTTCAGTGCCACAGGGTCCCAGGCTGTGGCTCTTGGCCCTGTTCTGTCATCTTTTTCTTGGTATCGTATCCTGCCTTGTGGCTGATTCCTTCACATTCCCGTTTCAGCCCAGCTTTCTTGTTTTCACATACCCAGTTGCCTGCCCGTCCCCTCTGGGAGTCAGAGAGAATCTGAAGCTCCGTGTGCCCCAAGCTGAACTCCCCACGCCCCCTCCCCCCAGCATCCTGTTGCCCCAGTGGCCTTCCTTAGCACAGCTAATGGCAGCTCCAGCCTTCTGGTCCGCAGGCCCAAATCTCTGGAGTCACCTTTGACAGCTGCCCATATCACACCCCCTTCCAGTCAGTCAGGGCATCCTGCGGGCTCTGCCGTTCCGGCTGCTGCCACACAGGCCCAACCACCCTTCTCTTGGCGAGATTATTTTAGAAGCCTCCTAACTCTTCTTCCCACCTTACCGTCTTCCCACAGTCCATTCTCAGCCCAGCAGCCAGAGTGAGCCTTCGAACCGTAAGCCAGACCATGTTACCGCTCAGCTCGGAGCCCCTCCTGGTGGCTTATCCCACTTCCCTCAGCATAAAAGTCAGAGTCCCCAGAATGGTCCCTAAGAACCCGTGTGATCTGGTCCTCGGACCACTTCCTCCTTCCTCAGTCTGCTCCAGCCACGCTGGCCTCCTGGCCATTTCTCAAAATGCCGGGCACCGTGCCGTCCTAGAGCGTGGCTCTTCTCTTCCGGCCCGGAGCGCTCCTTCCCGGGTATCTGCACGGCCAGACCCCTCACCAGCTCTGAGTTTTGCTTAGAAGGCACCTTTTAAAGGAGGCCCTCCCTGACCACCTTTTCCAGAAGTGCAAACCCCGCCCCGCTGCATGCCTCATCCCACTTGCTCAGCTCTTCCAGCTCTTCCCCATGAACACGTACCACCTCCTGGCATGTTATATAATGTACTTACTTATTTTTTTGTCTGTTTCTCCCTACAAGAACGTAAGCTCTGTAGGGCAGGAATCTTCGTTTTAACCACTGACCCCTAATAAGTCACCACTAAGTAGTCTTCAGGGGGATTGAATGTATTGAATGAACAAATAGCTCTCCCTTGTTAGAAGTCATTTTCATGTAAATAGCGATGCAAGAATTCATGACCACTCTATGCTTCTCCGCAAAACTCAGTATAGGTTTATTGAAAAGATGCTACCAAGCCAGGCTGGGCTCCTGTGTTCTGGGTCCATACAATATGGTTTGCTATAAAACTCCAAATCTTCCAGCCAAGATTTAAAAAAATAATAAAAAAAAAGATGCTACCAAGAAACCAAAGGCCATTCTCTTTATTTTTTTTTAATGTTTACTTTTGAGAGAGAGTGCAAGTTGGGGAGGGGCAGAGAGAAGGAGACAGAGAATCTGAAACAGTCTCTGAGCTATCAGTGCAAAGCCCAATGCCGGACTTGAACTCATTAACGGTGAGATTATGACCTGATCTGAAGTTAGACAGTCAGCTGACTCAGCTGCCCAGGTGCCCCTTTAAAAAAAAATTGTTTTTAAATGTTTGAAAGGCCAATGTCTGTGCTTCTTGCTGGTGATTAAACAAAGTAACAACAAAAAAACATGCAAAAGAATGAGTTTGGACCCTTACTTCCCAGCATATACAAAAATGAAATGTATTAAAAAATCTAAATGGTAATGCTAAAACTCTAAAACTCTTAGAAGACGTAAGAGTAAATCTGTGACTTTGGATTCAATTAGTGTTCTGCATAGGACGCCAAAAGTATAAACAACAAAGGAAAAAAAAACCAGATAGATTGGACTGAATCAAATTAAAAACGTTGGTGCTTTGAAAGAACACAAGAAAGTCAGAGACATCCCACCGAATGGGCCAGAATGTTTGCAAATCATGGAGCCGATAAGGGATTTGTATTTAGACTATATAAAGAACTCTTTAACAACTCAAGATTAAGACAAAGAGCCCAGTTAAAAATAGGGAAAACATTTGAATAGATGTATCTCCAGAGAAGACACAGGCCACCAGCATTTGAAAAGATGCGCACAATCATTAGTCCTAGGGAAAACCACAGTGAGATACCACTACCCACTAGTGTGGCGCTGCTCAAATAGTGGGAAATAACGTGTTGGCAAGGGTGTAGAGGAGGTGGATCCTCACACACGCAGAGGACACTTAAAGTGGAAACCAATCTGGCAGTTCGTCAGACAGATACCAGTTACCATGGGACATGGCAACTCCTCTCCTAGTATAAACTCCAGAGAAATGCTCCGTCGGTTAAGCATCCGAATTTGGCTCAGGTCATGATCTCACGGTTCGTGGGTTTGAGCCCTGCGTCCAGCTCTGTGCTGACAGCCAGCTCAGAGCCTGGAGCCTGCCTCAGATTCTATGTCTCCCTCTCTCTCTGACCCTCCCCTGCTCATGCTGTCTCTGTCTCTCTCTCAGAAATAAATAAAACATTAAAAAAAAATTTTTTTAATGAGAATATATTCAAACAAATACATATACATGAATGTGTGTAGCAACGTTATTCAGAACAGCCAAAGTGGAAACAATCCAAATGTCTACCAGCTGATGAGTAGATAAGCAAAATGTAGCATATCCACACCATGGGATATGACCTGGTCATAAAAAAAAAAAAAAAAAAAAAAAACCTTCAAAACGATGTTTGGGTACAGAGTTTCAGAATGGAAAGAGGAAAATAGTGGAGACAGTGGCGTGAATGTGCTTATTGACACTGACCTCTCCACATAAAAATGGTTAGATGATAATGGTGCCTGGGTGGCTCAGTCGGTTAAGTGTCCTACTCATGATTTTGACTCAGGTCATGATCTCACAGTTCATGAGTTCAAGTCCCACATCTGGCTCTGCGCTGACAGCGTGGATCCTGCTTGGGATTCTCTCTCTCTCTGCCCCTCCCATTTGCACTGTCTCTCAAAATAAATAAAAACTTAATATGTTTAAATGATAAATGTTATGTGTAGCTTACCACAATTTAAAAAAAAATGCTAAGCGAAGGAAGCCACACACAAAAGGCTGAAATTGTAGGATTCCATGAATGTGAAATGTGCAGCGGAGGCAAATCATAGAGACAGAAAATAGACTAGTGGCTGCCTAGGGTTGTAAAGAATGGCGAGAAACAGGGACTAATTACTAATGGATAGAATTTCCTTTTGGGGTGATGAATGTTCTAGAATTAGCTGCACACCTTGTGAATAGATTTTTAAAAACAGCTGAATCACTTGAAAATGGTGAACTGTATGGAATGTGAATCATAGCAATAAAGAAATAGAGGATTTATAGTTTTATGTCATATTTGAAAGCCAGTTTCAATCCAGTCTGTTGAAGGGGGAAACGATTTCTTTAATGTGCCACCCTTCCATTCGGCAAAGCCTATAGAAGCTTCAATCTTCTGAGATGCGCTTGCTGTTTCTTGCCTTCCCATATCAAAGCTAATTTTGTAAGTATTGCAGTCAGGAGTCTTAGTCATATAAAGACATTTTGTACAATACTTATTAAAAGCCCAGATTTGCTGCTGTTTGTTTAGCATCCCCTTCAGAACTGAAGGCTGATGTTTTATGCTTCTGAGAGCTTCCAGAACAAGACCAGAGAGATTTTCTGAATCCCCCTGGGATTGTTTTTAATTCCATTACAGATTGGCCTCGTGTATTAACAAGGCAATCTTGTCTTTCCCTTACTTTACTGCTCTGACCTTTCAGGGAAAATGTGATTTCAGAATTGGACACCATCCAAAGACAATACCAGGATGTTATTTCTTGCAAGCAGCACAGCTCCAAAGAGGCGGCCCGAGCTGTAGTTCTTGGCTTGTCTTGGATTCCCTTGCTGTCCAAAGTGTGGTCCACAGGGGCACCTGGGTGGCTCAGTCAGTTAAGCATTCGACTTCAGCTCAGGTCATGATCTCGTGGTTCGTGAGTTCAAGCCCCACATTGGGCTCAGTGCTGACAGCCCAGAGCCTAGAGCCTGCTTCGAATTCTGTGTCTCCCTCTTTCTCTGCCCGTCACCCGCTCCCATTCTGTCTGTCTGCCTTCCTGTCTCTGTCAAAAGTAAATGTTAAAAAATTTAAAAAAAAGTGTGGTCCATAGACCAACAGCTAGTGGTATCACCTGGCAGCAGGTCAGTGATGCAGAATTCAAGCCTCCTCCCCAGACTTTCTGAAGCAGAATCTGCATTTTAACAAGATGTGGTGGTTTTCGACTCCGTCCACAAATCCCTGGATACTCGCTGTTCAGGGGAGCCTCGTTCTCCTTGCCTTGAGTGTGGGCTGTACTTGGTGACTTGTTTCTAACAAGTGGTAGAAATGATGGAATGTGACTGCCAAGTCAGCTTTCACCTTTCTCTCTGAGATCACCCAATCTAGGAAAAGCCGGCTGTCTTGTGGTGAGAACACTCAAGCAGAGGGTTCACATCTGTGCAGAGGGTCACATGGCCAACAACATACATGCCAGTAGCCACATATGTGTGCCATTTGGGAGTGAATCCTTCAGCCCCAGTCGTGCCTTCAGATGATGGCACGACATTCTGACTACAATCTCACAAGGGACCCAGAGCCAGAATCACCCAGCTAAGCCACTCCTCAGTTCCTGACTCTCAACAACTATGTTAGATAATGTTTGTTGTTTTCAGCTGCTGAGTTTTGAGGTCATTTATTAAATACAGCAATAATTAACCAATGCACAACACTTCCAGGTGACTTGGAAGCACATTAGATTTGAAAAGCTGAACTAGACCATGAACTGGACGGCAGAGACCATCTTAGTCATTTCCATGCCTTCACAGCTTAGCACAGTGCCTGACACTCAGTAAATTTTAGCTCAACTAAATACAGTTTTAAATTGCCATTTTTTAAAAAATGAAAACTTGTTTTAAAAAAAAATGCACACATGCAAATGGTGAAATATTCCAACATGCTAGAGGGTATTTACGGTGACAAGTAAATCTCTGCAGACCCCTGTTGCTTTTCAGGAAACTGTGACCACTTGCCTAACTTTGTGATTAGTTATTAGCAATTAGTCACATAAGACAGTACATTGTCTTCTTCCCCCCACCCCCGTCTAGTCACGTCACTTCCCAAAGAAATTGTTGTCTCAAAATGAAACACTGTAAGCTACATATAAGTAAAAACACAAAACACTGCTTCCAAATGTAGCTCTAGAAGTAACCACTATTAAGAATTCATGGTGTACCTTTCCAGACTCTTAAAAAAGTCTTTTATTCAGGTGCATCTGGTTGGCTCAGTCAGTAAAGCATCAGACTTTGGGTCCGTTCACGATCTCAGGGTTTGTGGGTTCGAGCCCCGCCACAGGCTCTGTGCTGATAGCCTGGAGTTTGCTTTGGATTTTGGGTCTCCCTCTCTCTCTGCCCCTCCCCTCCTCCTTCTCTGTCCCTCAAAAATAAATAAACATTAAAAAAGTGATTTCAAAAAATCTTTTATTCATACATGTACACCTTTGAGTTTGTAGTGTTCCCCATGCAGAGTAATTGTGTGTCTTGATCTGAAATTTGCATTTTCTTCTAGAGACCTCTGTTGGCATCCTTCTAAGACAGTATGTATAATAGATCCACCTCATTCGTCTGGTCGGCTCAGCCACTGCCTCCCTGGAGGACTGCTCCAACTGCCTCGCCCACCGAATTCCCACCACCGCGCCTCAGGACAGGCGCTTTCCTGCCCCTTTTATGGAGGAGGAGGTAGAAACAGAGCCTGCAGGTTCTGGAGAGCCTTGAACTTAACCACCGGGTCACTTGGCTTCTAATTTCCTCTCTTCCTCTATCGGGGACATTTGGGCTATTAATAACACCAAATGTGGGGACCTCGAATGCTTCAGGCGACCACCTTTGAACACGGTCGTTATGGAATTTCAGGAGGAGAGACCTCTCAGGGCTCTTCCTCCTTTTTGGAGATTCCATACTCTTTTGAGAATGTGATAAAAAGTCTGAATCCTCACCCCAGGGCCTCCTCAAGGCCCTCCTTAAAACTTCTTGATCCGGTGATTTGAGAAGAAAACTTGACCTTTCCCAACCGAGGGGAACAAAAGAAACCTTTCCACAAAACTGCTCCTTTCTGGCTCTGCCAGAGCACAAGGCACTTTCCTACTGAATGTGTTTTCAAAGGGTTAAAAGGCTCCACTTGCCTTCGGGGACGTGCTTCCTCCCACTGCTGTCTCCCGAAATGGCAGCCCTGCAGGGCTGTGACAGAACGCGACAGGTCCTTTGATCCTGTAGGAAGATCGGCTCCCGGGCGCGCCAAGGGCAAAGGAAGGTCCTGGGCTTCACGGCGCCCGCCTGCGGCCACCAGAGGGCGCCCTCGCCCCGAGTTCTGAGTCCCTGCCCGCAGCCTGTCCCGGCTAGTCACGTCCAGAACGTCCCAGGGACAACGCCTGGTGCGCAAGGCGAGGTCGTTGCTATGCATTGTAATAATCGGGTCGCAATAATCCTGATCCCCTGATCCCCGCGGTTGAACGCGAATGGGTTGTCACCTTTGCACACTGCTAGAGGCGGAGGGCTGTTCCAGTCTGCGCTGGCCCACTGACTTGAGAGCATCCTGATCAGGGAGGAGGGTGCGTTTTCTTCGTTAGGAAAGGGAGAGAGGAAAACAGGGGAGGATGATTAGTCTCTGTCTAGGGTACCACACGGAGAAACCAGCTTCAAGCACCAAGCAGTATCCAAGAGGCAGACTGAATATTTATTCATTAGTCCATGCTGCTCCCTGGACACGCCTCACTCACACGCACCTTCCTCCAATTCATAAGGTCCACCCTTTTCCCGATGAAGGCCATTTGCCCTTCTGAACCGCTTATCTCCTAGGTGACGTCATCCCACGCCCTTTCTTATCTTTCCATACTTGTGCTTCTTGCACCGGCACTGCATTCTATCATCGTGTGGTTCTTACTGCCTTCCTACCCTCTCCAGCACGTTGTGACCTTGTGAAAGTCTAGGGCTGTCCCCACACCTCATTGGCCCTCAGCCAATGTTCGATAAACGAGTCTCAGCTAAAAGGAAAAAAAAAAAAGGCACGTGTAAATGCATGAAATGGAAGAAAGTGAATCGACACAAGTAATGACAATCTTCCTGATCTCAGTATGAACATACCTAGAACCTGTGGTGGGACTCAAAAGAACTCTGCTCGAGGCAGAACCAAGGAGATGGAAGAGATAGAAGTTTGTTGAATACATTGCAAGGGAGCAAAGGACAGATTGTCAGTCCAGAGGCCCATGGTGGGGGCTGTAGTTAAGGCGCGGAAGTGAGGAGGTATGGGAATGTACGGAATTTTCCTTTTTCAGTACCTGTGACTGGTTGTAAGTAGCCCATTGGTCAGCTAGGGCTCATGGATGTTTTGAGGTGGGTCGCCTCCTGAGCCTGTGAACCTTCAGCAACGTGGTCACCGTGGGTCCTTTTACCTTACTTAGGTTTCCATTGCTCAGCCTGATACAGTCTTCTTCAGAAACTTCTGGATGAAAGTATGAAGTCAGGAAGCAGGTCAACCTTTGATCAGTCTCTAGTCCATCTGTATCCCAAACCTGGCATGAGCCTGGCCAACATTTAACCTGCGACCGTGTCTCAAGTCTTCTTCCTCAAAATACTTTTATTTATTGGTGCTGTGATTTGTTTCTTGAGGAGTTTCTCTTCATGTAACTTTCATCCTTAAAAAAATGTTTATTCATTTATTTTTGAGAGAGAGAGTCTGTGTGTGCATGTGTGCTCGTATGAGCAGGGGAGGGACAGAAAGAGAGGGAAGGAGAGAATCCCAAGCAGGCTCCAGGTGAGATCATGACCTGAGCTGAAATCTAGAGTTAGATGCTTAACTGAGTCACCCAGATGCCCCTTTTCTTCCTTTTTAAAAAATCTCTACGGGGAGCCTGGGTGGCTTAGTCGGTTAAGCGTCCGACTTTCGCTTAGGTCATGATCTCGCGGTTCGTGGGTTTGGGCCCCGCGTCGGGCTCTGTGCTGACTGCCAGCTCAGAGCCTGGAGCCTGTTTCAGTCTGTGACTCCCTCTCTCTCTGACCCTCCCCTGCTCACTCTCTCTCTCTCTCTCCTAGAAATAAATAAAACATAAAAAAAATCTCTATTATATTTCTAGCGTTATCCAGAATTTTCTAATTCTTTTTTTTTTTAATGTTTTATTTATTTCTAGGAGAGAGAGAGAGAGACAGCATGAGCAGGGGAGGGTCAGAGAGAGAGGGAGTCACAGACTCTGAAACAGGCTCCAGGCTCTGTGCTGGCAGCACAGAGCCCGACGCGGGGCTCGAACCCACAAACCGCGAGATCATGACCTAAGCGAAAGTCGGACGCTTAACCGACTAAGCCACCCAGGCGCCCCAGAATTTTCTAATTCTTAATCCTGGAATACTTAACTGGGCATGCTACATCAGAATCAACCCTGAGATTTAAAAAAAAAAAAAAAAAAAGTGCAGCTGCTCCTACCCCACCCAGCCTTACGGAAGCAGAAGCCCCATGGCTGGCCTGGGGGATAAACATATTTTAAAAACTCACACAGGGGCTCTGATGTGCAGGCCTGGGTAAGAATCGGTGGTTTCATTCCACAAGGGCTCTGTTTTAAATCTGCCCCCAAACGGACGCTTTCCCCCTGCTTTACATTTTGTTTTTCCGGGCTGATACAGGATCTCCCTTCCCTTCCTTTCCTGTGCTATTTTCGGCTGATATGTGCCTGGTAGTTCCAGTGTTCCCCGGCCCGTTCCAGACCGAGCTGTCTTCGTCAGGTGGAAACCATGGTGAGGAGCACTGCTCCCCGGTCTGCCAGGGCGCGGGGGGGGGGGGGGGGGGGGGGGGGGAGCAGCCTTTGTGTGACATTTTCCACGCCTAGCCTCCACCTGGCCTTACTGAAACCATCAAAAACCACGTGGAGACACCACCTGTTGCACTTGCTTGCTGATACTCTGTGAACACATATGTGCTTCCATAAGACGTGGCCACTAAAATCATAATTGTCTCAATTATTTGGTTTTAAGAGAGCATATTCTAAGTGCTGTGGAGGAAAAAAAAAAAAACCTTTAGCGCATGAATTTCAGTCCTTTTTTATAGCATTTAGAAGAGACACAAGGCATCTCATCCCTGCTGTAAAAGGAAGTATTAGTTCTGCTAAATGAAACACCTGGAGGTGCTTTTCTTCAGGTATGGATTGATCCAGGAGCGCAAACCAAATACTTGGCTTCTCTCTCTTCTCTCTGCTTTCCAGTGTCGATATTAGGCTCACAAGGACCGGCCAGTGGCCCTCCTCATGTGTGGCAGCGGGAGAACTGAACCACTCCCACCTATCACCTCCTAACACTCTTCCAGCCACTAGAAAGGTAAAGATCTCTTCCCCTAGCTGCTGCAGAACAGAGAAAACTTTGCTTTCCCAGAATCCACAGCACATACCCCTCCCTCACCTCCAGACTCATTTTTTTCCAATCAGGTCACACCCCTCGCCATCAACCATTCATTATGGTCCAGGGGATTGTGGTGCTTTTATTGGTCAGCCTTAGTCACATGGCTGCTTTCTCTTTTCTTTTAATGTTTATTTGTTTTTGAGAGACGGAGCACCAGTGGGGAGGGGCAGAGAGAGAGGGGGGCACAGAAGCCGAAGCATCTCCAGGCTCCCAGCTGTCAGCACAGAGCCCGAGACGGGGCTCAAACTCGTGAACATTGAGATGATGACCTGAACAGAAGTCCCTCATGCTTAACTGAGTGAGCCACCCAGGAGCCCCTCCAGGCACACGGTCTCTCTTGAGCCAACTGGGGTGGGGACAGCTCCCCCCAACCCACGTGGGTCAAGAGTGGGGGAAGGAGGGTGGTTTCCACAAAGGAAGCCAGAACTCCCTCACCAGAAGGGAGAGCAGGTGTTGGGGAGGAAGAAGGCCTGATGTCCCTTGAGCCCTGGAGGTCATGCTGGAGACAACGCTTGAGTGAGGGTAAATGGGGCAGTGGGTTTAGGATGGCCCACAGCAGGGAAGCCTGACACCAGGCGGGGGACATTCGGATAGCGCTCCCCTTGAGCGTGGACAAGGACCTGGGTGAGGGCTCTGTGGTCGCAGGCAGCGTAGCAAAACTGCCCACAATACCTGGGTGTGAATTCTCGCTCTGCCACTTACCGGCTGTTACCTAACCTCTCTGTGCCTTAACTTCCCCACTTGTAAAATAATGGCACCTGGGTTGTCACGGGTGACCCTGAAAACAACATGGGAAGTGGAAGAAGCCAGTCACAAAGGACCACAAATTATGATTCCATTTACATGAAACTTCCAAAGTAGGCAAATCAATACAGTCAGAAAGTAGATTAATATTGCCCCTGTTTGGGGCAAAGGAGATGTTGGGTGGTGATGGCTGGGGGTTCTGGGTTCTTCTGGGGGTAAGGACTCTGTTCTAAAACCATGGGGATGGTTGCACAACTGTGAATAAACTAGAAGACACTGAATTTTTACCTTAAATTGGGGAATTGTAGGATATGTGAAATTATATCTCAATAAAACTATGGCTTTAAAGGTTATTTATTTATTTAAAATATTTATTTATGTATTTATTTTTATTTATTTTGAGAGAGAGACAGAGAGTGTGAGCAAGAGAGGGGAAGAGAGAGAGAGAGAGAGAGAGAGAGAGAGAGAGAGAGACTCCCAAGCAGGACTCGGGGCTCAGTCCCCTGAGCCATGACCGCAGCCAAAATCAAAAGTCTGACACCCAACCCACTGAGACACCCAGGAGCCCCCTAATTGTAGGTTTTTTAAAGATAATATGAGTCAAGTGCTTTTAATAGCACCTGGCACATCCTCTCCACTTGCTCCATCGGGCCCAGAGGTCACAGTCGCTTCTGACTCTTACAGGCCCTTGGGGGCTTCACCAGCCCCCAAGTTCAAGTTTCCTTTATCCTGCCCTTGCCTTTCTCAATAGTCCCATCGTAAACTCCCTTTATTACCCACTTTTGAGTGCGCCTCTCTTTGCTGCCAGGACCCTGCCTGCATAGGGACCACCTCTCCAGAAGAGTGGGACTTGTAGGCTAATCAGAAAGGACTGGTCCATTTTTGTGTTCAATTGATTGGGCCACAGGGTGCCCAGACATTTGACCAAACATGATTCTGGGTATCTCTGTGAGGGTGCTTTTCTGGTGAGATTAACATTTGAAGTGGTAAAAGTGTACAGCCAACTAATCTTTGACAAAGCGGGGAAGAGCATCCAATGGAAAAAAGACGGCCTCTT